ATATCCGGTTTTGGCCATTATTCGAGTAATGGGTTATTCGAATAACCGGTTTTAGAATATCCGGTTTCAGCAACTATTCGATTAACCGGTTTTATCTGAAATCGGTTTTTACGGAACCCGGTTAAACGGTTTCACTTTTTTCCGGTTTTTGACAGCACTAGTTAAAATGAGGAATATATGGATTTTTCTTTTTACTGTGTTACATCATTTCTCGGAATGTACAAAATAAAAATATATTCAACTATACAGGGTGTTCCATTTTTCCCGGCCAGACACTTTGGTTTTAAATGGAAACACAATTTTTTTTTTCGGATTATACATAAAAAATAAAGGGTACTTTGTGTAGAATAGTTCTATTCAATTATTCACAGTTTTTGAGATATCTCGCTTGAAAGGTTTTTCTAGTCGATATTGGTTGCTTACATTTTCTGATACTGACAGGTTATACTAATAGCTACTAAGCCCATTTTTATATCAGATGTTTAGTAAGGATAACTCTTCCGAATCATGCTCCAAAAACTGACCTGCATTATACAGTGCGTCCAAAATATCATGTCAAAATTGCCAATTTAAAAATTGAAAAATCTCGAAATTTTTAAATGCAACACCCTGTATATTTTCATAACATGAGATGCAGAATTAAATTCTCTATAACTTTGCTATACCTGCTCCTATACCAAAATTCATTAATTTTTCATGAAATCTCATCTCTATGGAAAAATGCGAAGTTTACAAATAGCTTATACGTAAAATAACATAGTAGGCTCCTGTCTAAGGATAATCTGGAAAATTTTCGATTCACATACGGTTTAATAGAAAAGCGACATTAATAATTGTGAAATGAATTACTCTAAAGAAGAATTAGTAAATAAATAATAGAATAATTAGTAAAACTCATGGTAACTGTTTATTGGTGAGTCGTATTTACCAAGCTAATAATCCAGATTTGCAAAGATATCCTCGTACAAAGTGTTTTGTAAAACTGAAGGAGAGGTTTGAAAAGAACAACAAATGCAAATTATGAGAAGACAACAAGAACACACGCATACAGTATCCAAAACAGTAAATTAACATCGTGCATTTCTAACGAAAGTAATAAAGAACTAGTTAAATTAGTAATTAACAGGTAACCGCTCAAAATGTCTGCCATTTTTTTCTAGACATTGAGCAATTCCACGACGAAAACTGCTTGACACATTTCGCAGCATTTCCGGAGTTACGGTAAAAAAAGCATTTCTTATGTTTGCCCGTAAATCTTCTAAATCTATCGGAGGAGTTTCATACACTCTGTCTTTTAGGTATATAGCCCCATAAAACAATCAAGACAAGATAGGTCTGGGGATCGGGGAGGCCATGGAATTGGACCTCCTCTACCTATCCACTTATCTGGATACAAACCATTTAAGTATTCTCCAACCTGAGACTGTTTTTCTATGAATTTACATAACTTACATAATGAGAAAACTTACCGGCAGTGTGGAATGTGCAGGGGCACCATCATGTTGGAACCACTGACTGTTTAAGTCATCCGGAGGAATATGTCTCTGCAATTGGAGCAAGTCGTTTTGTAAAAATTGCAAATAACCATTACCAGTTAAGTTTCCTTCAAGAAAATGTGGTCCAATACATATATATTACCTCCGCATATTCCCGCCCAAACGTTGAAGCGGAGTTGATAATCGTCTTGTCTTATTAATCTGGGATTATGATCGGCGCAATGGTGATAATTATGTCGATTCTCTCGACCAGTATTGGCAAAGGATGACTTGTCAGTAAATAACACCTTTGAAAAAAAAAATTTCATCTTGTTGTAGCTTTATAGTTGCCCACTCACAAAACTGTACTCGCTTCTGAAAATCTTGCTGTGTTAAGAATTGGTGATGCTCAGAATGATAGGGGTGGAAGTTGTATTTCTTTAACGTTCTATTAACCACACTTTTGGAAATACTAATTTCATCACTAATTTCTCTGACACTTGTAGATGGATTTTGGACTGCACATCTCAAAATGTCAATTTGACTATCCTGATTACTGCATGCGTGTGTTCTTGTTGTCTTCTCATAATTCTGGATTATTAGCTTGGTAAATACGACTTGGCAAGTCTAAACAGTTACCATGAGTTTTACTAATTATTCTATTATTTATTTACTAATTCTTCTTTAGAGTAATTTATTTCACAGTTATTAATGTCGCTTTTATATTAAACCTTATGTGAATCGAAAATTTTCGAGATTATCCTTTGACAGGAGCCTACTATGTTATTTTACATATAAGCTATTTGTAAACTTCGCATTTTTTCATAGAAATGAGATTTCATGAAAGACTAATGAATTTTGGTATAGGAGCAGGTATAGCAAAGTTGTAGAGAATTTAATTCTGCATCTCATGGTATGAAAATATACAGGGAGTTGCATTTAAAAAATTCGAGATTTTTCAATTTTTCAATATTTTGGTCACCCTGTATAACGCAGGCCAGTTTTTGGAGCATGATTCGGAAGAGTCATCCTTACTAAACATCTGATAAGAAAATGGGCTTTGTAGCTATTAGTATAACCTGTCAGTATCAGAAAATGTAAGCAGCCAATATCGACTAGAAAAACCTTTCAAGCGAGATATCTCAAAAACTGTGAATATTTTGATAGAACTATTCTACACAAAGTACCCTTTATTTTTGATGTAGAATCAGAAAAAATATAAAAAATGTGTGTTTCCATTTAAAAAACCAAAGTTGGTGTCTGGCCAGGAAAAGTGGAACACCCTGTATAGTTGAATATATTTTTAATTTGTATATTCCGAGAAATGTGGCAACACAGTAAAAAGAAAAATCCATATACTCCTCATTCTAACATAGATATTGGACTTTCCCGCACTCGTGGGACACGCTGTATATATAGAAAATTTTGTAGTAACTGTTTTGTGTTTTTTAATATTGTTTTTATATATTTTTTATAAATCTCTACCCCGTAATTGGATTTGAACTCTGGGTCGGCGTAATTAGGGAAATAAAGTCAATAGTACAGATTACACATGTCGACAAAAAAAAATCGTCTGTTTTGAGACGTGACCTTATACCTATTTTTGAGGGGAATTCACGTAAGATTTTTTACTTTTGATAGATAAATAAATAAATCTGTAATAATTTGTCAAATAAATGGGTTTTATTTAAATTAATTTAAATAAATAATCTTAACAATGTGTCCAAGAAAAAGAACATAGAATATTATTATTTTTTTAAATTTCTGTCAAAACTAGTATCAAATATCTGCTGATAAATGCAAATGCAGTGGGCTTAAATAAAAGTTGTAAGATGTATCCGCTAAGACACCACTTTTTGGCTTACTAATTAGAGACTTACTGTTGTACTACGTGATCTGATCACTATGTGTCTAAATGCCTTAGATCCGTTTATACTCACATGTTATTACATATACGACAACAACATTCACATCCTAGCTATTTGTCATTGACTTCTCTCTTTTGTTGAAAGTTTTCTTTATTTTAAGGTGTTCTTCATCAACACCAACAATTGTAATCATTTTTTTCTATTGGCACTGTCCATGTCCTCTTGAGTAGACCAAAAAGAGTTCCATAGGTTCCACAGTGCTTAAAAAGTTAACTTAATCAGTTAATATTTACAACATAGATACGAAAGTATATAGATTATCTTAATAGAAATATTAGGTACCTGCCTTAAAAATAATATGCGGTACCCTCAAATTTTGAGGGTAGTAAGTTTTGAAACTGTCAGTGATTAGTTAACCCAGTTCAAACCTAAAAAACAATCTCCTTTGTTATTTTTCTGATATGTTGAATTTGATGTTACAATAATATTTTAAAATTTTAAAATATACAACATTATCTTCTATTAATTACACAGCCGCATAAAAAAGTTCTGTACCAGAGACATAACTATGTAGATTTTGTGAATTTTTTATGCTGAATCCCAATCCACATCCCAAAAACTGATCTACTAGGCCATTTTTTAGTAAAACGCTAAAATGTCCCTTAAAATAGGGTGAAAAAAAAATATATAACCTATCCCTCAAAAGGTTGGAAACTACCTACAGATCAGGGTCCCACTTTCCCTTTTGAGTCGCACATTTAGTTTTGCCTAAATTTTGTTACTGCGAGTTTTTGGAGTCGCTGATTACGAATCTGAGGTTCGAATTCGATAATTCCTGGATAAAAGATGGCGGATCCAATATGACGGATGTAAAAATGGGAAAAGCATTCAAAATTTGAAGAGACGCACAAAATAAGTTTGATTTTAGAGCTAAAAATATAATTTTGATCATTCAAGTAGCAAATTGTTTCAACTAAATTTTAACTTGTACTTGTACGATCGATGTTGTTGTTTTGTTTGTTGTTGTTTGTTGTTGTTTGTTGCTGTTGTTTTGTTGTTGTTTTTCAATTTTAGACATTTGCCTAATTTTATTCAAGTGACTCAATTTTTTAAACATTCATAACGCATTTTTTTGGGTGGCAAATACCAATTTCTGCTTTTCCGATTTTTATATCCACCATATTCGATCCACCATCTTTTATTAAGAAATTTTCGAATTCGGATTCGTATCAGCGACCCCAAAAACCCTCGGTAACAAAATTCAAGCAAAAATATTGAATAGAAAAATGTGTAAACTAAAGGGTTAAGTGGGACCCTCGTCTGTATGTGTTTTCCAACCCCTTGTAGAGGTGTGTGCGTTTTTAATTTGCATATATTTCTTTAAAATGTTCCAAATATTATTTTAAAATGTTTTCTCAAAGTATTTAAAAATTGTTGTTTTTCATTATAAAGCTTTAGTTTATCCTCACTATTTCACCCTATTTTAGGGGATATTTCAGCGGTTTGGTAAAAAATGCCCAGGTAGACCAGGATTTGGATTCAGCATCAAATAATATACAAGATCTATATAACTCATGTCTCTGGTACAGAACTTTTTGTTTGTGGGGCTGAGTTATTATATCGTGGTAACTGGTTTAATATTACTATGTAATTTTAGGTACTCTTTTACCTTTTTACAAAATCACGTACAAGCATCCAGAAAACAGCCAATATTATCAGTAAACAATTTACACTTACCTGATGACGTACCTCCATTGAATACCGGCTATTCTCTGAAAAAGTGGTCAAATAAAATGCCAAGATTAAAATCTGCCCACAAGAATGAGATGATCAATAAGAATCGAGATCTGGACCAAGAATATGATATGAGTTATGACATTAATAATATATTGGACTGTATAGATAGCAGTGAGGTTCAGGAGTTTTCAGAAAATGTAAATGCCGAAGAATATGAAATACATTCCGATATAGAAGAACTCTTAAGACAATCAGCTGAAATAAGGCATCAACGAGACAATGAAGAAAGGAAAAATAGGAAAATGCAACTATCTAATGAGGGAAGGCCCATGACTGAGGATAAATCTAGGAGACGACACAAACATAGACTAAAAAAGACCATAAGATTTTCATTTTCAAAACCGGCTAGTCCTCAGACTGAACAAGTCATTAGAGTAGATGTTACTTCTAATATTTCTGTGGAAGAAATGAGACATCTAGAAAGCAATAGAAGTGATACCAGAACAGGTAATTTAATGAAAAGCAAATTTTCAACAAAAAAAAAAAGATATGTGACGGTTTTCATTAATCATTTATTATCAACTATAGGATTTAAGAACTTTACCAAGTAATTTAAAAATAAAAATGAAAATACAATTTGCAGTAAGTTCTTAGTATTAATACCTACTAAGTAACTTAAGTAAATAAAAATAAAATTAATTTTGAAAAGGACGAGAAGTTGATCTTGTCGTTGACAGACGCTTATTATTAATTAATATGCAAACATTTTTAGTATTGAATGTAAAATTCAAAATTTCATATTCTCTCGAACTAGGAAGGGTAGACATACGAGTATATTTAGATTTCATAACAACCGCATATTTCTTAGACATATTCGAGTGGGTACTGAAAATATTACTTAAGATACAATTGTAAATTATTTACAATTATGAACATAATCATGGTTTCATAAATTTTGATTTCCTAATTGTATCTAAACATGAACTTATATGTATACTATTTATAGCGTTTTAAATCTACATCACCATCATCTACATCACCATCACCTGTATCACCATCATCTACATCAAATGACTTTTTAATTAACTAAAACATTGCTCTTAATTAATAATTGCTTCTACATTTATAAACGGTGTAACACCGATGTTGGGATTCTTCAAGTCAAATAAAACAATAAAGTAAGGTAACTTGTTTTCTGAAAACGATTGCTAAGGACTGTATGATCCTTCAATGATCACAAGGGAGTGAAAGATAACTTTTGGTCGTTTACTCAATAGCATTATTTGATGATATAGACTTAAAATTTGGCCTAATGCAGTTGCTTCATATAACAATTAACATTCATGTAAAATTAGATTCTTTATAGAAAGATTAATTTTAATGCCAAATAATATTTTTTAGTAATTAAAACTCCTTAGATACCTCTCAATTCCGACGCCACTGCTCAAATTTTGCAGGAAAGTAGCTACAACATTGTACCAAAGAAGTTTGTCCAATGTTACGTACCTATTTAACTGAAATCAAAAACTGTATTTTACTTCCAGTGTTTGAAAGACCATAGAGCTATTTGAAATCGTTTCAGAAAAAAGCCTACATTTGTTTCTTTATTTGTCAGAGGAAAGTTGATCGTAACGATGTTCACCGTTTGTATTCTGACTATTTAGTTAAACTCTTCTATCAGCCTTGTCAATTTTGGCATTCTGCCTAGGAAAAAATGACAAAAACTGATGTTTTAGAAAAATTTCTTGTGACCTCAAAGAAATATATAAGGAAACAATTGAATCTGTCATTTTTTTAAATCCTATAGAACCATAAAAAGTATTTTATAATTAGGGCTGTCAGAACGGAGCCACGGGACATAGACGTACGCATTATTTATTAAAAAGCAACAAATTATATTGTCTACAATTCATCACCACCAATGGCTAGGAATTAATTATGCAATATCCGCACGACTACATAAACAACAATACACGAATGTGAAAAGCATTCTGAGCCAACGGCTCACGCATGTCTCGGTTCACTCGCTTGGTACGCCAGTGAATTGCGGCTCTCTCTGACAGCCCTCTATACAGGGTGTAACTAAATAAGTGTAAAACATTTAAGGGGGTGATTCCTCATCGAAAAAAGATGGGATCTTTCATATAAAGAAACTTCATTGGAGCATCCCTTGTTAAGATACAGCCCCTTAAAGGGGGTACATAAAATTTGTTTAACAATTTTTTTCACAAGCACTAAACAAGTTACAATATTGAAATTAACCTGACATTTTCTACTACCAAAAAGACACTTAGCCAGTAATTTATTTGGTTTACCCCATGGTTGTAAGGGGTGGAAAACGCAACCCCTAAAATTTATTTCCAACGTAACTTTTTGTCTTATTATTTGTTTACCATTTAAAAATTTATTTCCGATAGCCTGTTTCATTCTAAAAAAAAATGTCTCTTGAATTTTTTGCCCAAATTAAACCAGTTCGCAGCAAAAAATTATTTTACGAACAAGATACATATCGCCATAAAACGAAAATACGAAACTAATTTATCTAGTAGGCCGCCATTAGCGATACTGACAATTAAATTGGAATCAAGCTGTCAGTTTGTAAATTTTTGAAATTGAAGTAATACTAATTGTGTATTGTTCTGTTCTTAATTTGTTACTTTAATAATTCACTTGTTATTAAAATGGCATACACAAATGAGGAAATGGCTGATATGCATTACGTTTACGGTCTGTCGCAGGGGAATGGGTTAGAAGCTTCTACAAGATATGCTGAAATGTATCCTCAACGGCAGCATCCTTCACATAGAATATTTGTCTGACTTCATCAACGATTACGTGAATATGGTTCATTCAACAAAAGAACGCAGGATTGTGGTCGCCATCGAGAAGTAAGAACACCACAGCTTGAGGCAGCAGTACTTAATTTGATAGAAGAACAACCTACTACCAGTACTAGAAAGATTGCTTTCCAGCTAAATGTTGATCATATGACGGTATTTCGAATTTTAAAGGAACATCTCTTATACCCTTACCATCTGCAACGAGTACAGGCACTGTTACCGCGAGACTTTCCGAACCGTCTTGAATTTTGCAATTGGATGCTGGAAATGATTAGAAGAAATCGTGACTTTCTGAAGACGATCGAATTCACAGACGAATGTAGTTTTTCTCGGGACAAGATTATTAATTTTCATAATTACCACATATGGGCTGATGAAAACCATCACGCTATTGTCGAAACTAACCATCAAGAACAGTTTTCTCTTAAGGTGTGGGTCGGAGTTATTGGGGATTATTTAATTGGGCCTCATTTTCTACCTCCTCGATTAAATGGTGAGGCATACGTTCAATTTTTAAGAAAAGTGCATCCCCCCGTACTGCTGGAGGAAGTTCCTTTGGGCGTCAGAAGGGATATGGTTTTTATGCATGATGGGGCTCCCGCCCATTTTAGTCAAGTAGCACGTCAGCATTTAACTGAAACATATGCAAATCAGTGGATAGGTCGAGGAGGACCACAGAATTGGCCCGCTCGATCCCCGGATCTCAATCCTCTGGATTTGTCTACTTGGGGCCATTTGCAGCATTTGGTTTATCGTACTCCTGTTCGCGATGTAGAGGACTTAAGAAACCGCATTATCGATGCGTGCAGGGTAATTAGAGAGACTCCAGGAATATTTGAGCGAATACGTGGCTCAATGCGCCGACGTCTAGACGCATGCGTAATGTCTGAAGGTAGACATATTGAACATTTACTATGATTTCTACATGTTGTATGTTTTGTTATTATTAAATTAGTTTTGATTATTCCCCTTTAATCATTTAATGCAGGTAGTAACTACAAAATAACAGTAAATCCAGTCCGCATTTATGACGATGTATCTCTGTAGTTGTTCGTAAAATAATTTTTTACTGCGAACTGGTTTAATTTGGGCAAAAAATTCAAGAGACATTTTTTTTTAGAATGAAACAGGCTATCGGAAATAATTTTTTAAATGGTAAAAAAATAATAAGACAAAAAATTACGTTGGAAATAAATTTTAGGGGTTGCGTTTTCCACCCCTTACTACCATGGGGTAAACCAAATAAATTACTGGCTAAGTGTCTTTTTGGTAGTAGAAAATGTCAGGTTAATTTCAATATTGTAACTTGTTTAGTGCTTGTGAAAAAAATTGTTAAACAAATTTTATGTACCCCCTTTAAGGGGCTATATCTTAACAAGGGATGCTCCAATGAAGTTTCTTTATATGAAAGATCCTATCTTTTTTTCGATGAGGTATCACCCCCTTAAATGTTGTACACTTATTTAGTTACACCCTGTATAATACTTTTTATCTTGTTCTAGACAAAGCACAACCTTTTAACTAACTTGTCTTATAATAGGATAATTTTAGATTTGCAAGAAGTCTTGATTTGGCCTACATATATGAAATTTAGGACTTTGGTAGATAAAGTACAGCTTGTCTAAATCTCGTTACCAGACCATCATCTGGATAACAAGAGTATATTAAAGAAAATAACGCTTACACATTGTTGTACTTATTCTTATAACCATTTATTGAATGCCTTCTCATTATTAGCGGGTGCGCCACTGTAATTGAACAAAAAAGCTTACTTGATTTAGCCAAAACTAATTTGGTTTAATCAAGTATCAGTTAACCAATTTACCCTACTGAATGACTAACCTTGTACAGAAAAAGTTCAATAATCTCTTTATACAAAGTATATTGCTTTACATTTCATTGGAATAGACGGTTAGGAAATAATTCAGAGAAACTATATTAAGGTTCCGCACAATATTGAGAACGAACACAGCGAAACTTATTCTTGGGTATTACAGATTTGATGAACCATATTTTATTTAAATGAAACTTAATGTACAGGGTGTTATATTTCAAGGATAGCTTCCTTAGATGGAAATAAATATATTTAGAAGTTATTTCTATACAGTTTTGCTTATCTTATTTATTTACCCAAAATGTAGAAATCGCTAGGAATACCTGCCTCAAATAGTCTCGTGTTTTTATTTTTGCCATTTTTTTATGTTTGCTGAAAATTTGAGAAGCCATAGATGTTTTATGAACCGTCACTTTATTTTTAACAATGATATTGTTGAATGACTATTCCGCTGGCTACATACCTCGTTAAGTTACAACACCAACATTTAGTAAAAAGTTAAAACCATTCATCAGCAAAATCACCAAACATGGACCGGTTCCAAACTTGTTAGCTCATTTCAGCATGCCATAGGTGAAACGACCCGAACGATTTAGCTATTTGGATATCCATGTACCGGTATGTTTTACCATATCACTTTATTCACTTTGAAAGAAATATACTTATTCTATACCTGCAGTTATGTTTTGGAAAACCGAATATCTGCCGGTGATATTGTAATCTAATAATAGAGTTGAACTTAAATTTGTAACTTCTAATTTTTGTAGGACTTACATCAAATTGCCTCTCTTCGAAAGACATGCGTGAAACTTCCAAATTATATTTCGGACTAAAGATAAGTTGGTCTCAATCATAAGATATATTGAACAAACATTAAAATTTAGCATAAATATGAAGTTGAACTGGATTAGAATGCTTTTAAATACTCTTTTCCAAAAATTGAAATCAGTTATTCTCTATTTTAGTCATATATGCAGTGTAAATTTGTTTGTCTTTTAATCATATTAAAATTAAAATTATATTTTTTAAGAACATATAGGTACTGAAAATTAAGAATAATTATTTTAAGGTTGGCAATAAGAATTTTACCCCAACCCGACTTTATCGCGACTCTATGTTTTCCGTATCACTGAAATATTTTAAAATGTGATTATCATCTTAAAAAGTTAAATGAAAAAACAAAGAAAAAATGTTAAAACTTTTTAAGAAAACAAAATTGTACTGAGATAACTCGCTCAAAATTTATTTATTTCCATTCAAGGGAACTAACTTTAATGTATGGTCGTTTTCGTATACTCTGTGTGTACCTACATACATTTGGCGCGTAACTTGCCAAAACTGAAAAAACGTTTTCTCGTTTAAATATAAGAATGTTTTATGTAAATATTCGCCCTTGGCAGTTTAAGATGGAGGTTGTTGAAGTTTAAAAAAATAATAAAACTAGCGATGTTAGTTTCACTTCCCTCAAAATTTGTGGCACACCACTGGAAATATTTTGTTATATTTGAAATGCAAATTTTATTTTAAAAAAAAATTTTTGCATAGTTTTAACTCTTTTGGTACAAATTAGTGATTTGTAAAAAGATAGTTTAGATGAATGTAGAATAATTTATTTTACTGATTTTGCAATATGTTCAAAATGGCGTTACTATACCAATTTTCAACGCACCCTTCTCTCTTAAAGATTCCTGCATAACTGATGAGTCTGTTGATACCCTTTTTTAAAACTTGAACACCCTATTTCAAAAAAAGGGTTTCAAGAGCATATGTTTATACGAGGAAAAATTCTTATATTCACACCAGCAAAAGCTCCTTAATTTTTTATCTAACTGCACAAATTGCTAATTTATATCAAAGCGATAAAAACTATAAAGAAGTTTAAAAAGATCAATTTTTTCAAATTAAAATTTATATTCAAATTTTTTTTTCCATTGGAAGCCCTTTGGAGGATCATCATATTTCATATCTACCTACGGCACTGGTTTGTACTAAGGTTTAATTTTTTTTACCGTTGAATATTTTATTTATATATTATGAACACAATATTTTGTATTTAAACCTTAACACCTCAAAGTCTATATGGGCAAATTATTATATAAGGAAATTTAAAATTTGGACCGAGAAAACGCTCCTGGTTTATCAGGCTAATGATTGTTAGAAGAATAAATAGTTTGGACTCTATAGAATATTTATTAAATTAAGGATATGATTTTATATAAAAACATTAGCAGCTGCAGATTATGTTTTCAAATTTTTAATTTATGTTCAATGAGTGTGGGCTCCAATAATGAAATTAGTAATGAGAAATCGCAACTTTAAAACTAAAGAATTAAATATATGTTTAGTAGCATCCATAGCTGAGTAATGTACAAATTCTAAATGTCTGTGTGTTCTTTTACAGATGACTATAATAAAAACTCCCCGAAGGTGATTAATGAATGTGGTAGGAAAGAATTAGATGGAGGTTTTAATGAAAACGCCGTAATAAAGTTCGATGGAGCAGATGAGGAATTTATTATTCGTTGCAGCCAATTAGCTTTAAATCAGAAAAAAAGATGAACCGTTAATTGCTCCTTTAAAATTTTCAGAAAATTATCAGTATAGTAAGATTTTTAAGAAAACTGTTCATACTATAATAAAAAATAGAAGAAAAACGCTGAAATAAGTCAGTATTTAATCTACGGGGGGCAGTGAGACACAGTACGTAAATATATTATCTCCCTTCCATCCCATCACTTCCTAAAGCAAACATTTTACGACAATAGTAATTGATTTATATTTTTGGTACATTTTAATTTTCAGTGATATATTTAGTTTTTAAATTACATACTGGTTTTTAAGAAATATGCTGTAAATATTTTGCAAGCATTTATTGAGTACGTACCAAATAGAATATGATTAGTTTAATTAATACACATTAGTAAGTTTAATAAAATATTGCCAAATGCTTGGAAAAGTTCCATACCTACAAACTACAGCTGTTTTACAATATCGTAATACATTATATTATCTTTCAAGTAATCTAAAATAACACTTAATATTTTTTATACAACTTTAATATTTTCATTATATCTCCTAATTTTCATATTTTTGGAAGGACCCATAATAATTGACCTAATTACTTAGTAATATCCTAAACATATTTTTTTCCTCGCTAACTTTTTTTCTGTACCTATACCTTTAAAAATGTGATCCATGCGCTCTTCGGTTGTTTCAATAGAAATCGTTTCCATTATGATATTTATATCTTCTGGGCAGTTTTGTGCTTGTACTATATTCTTGAAACTATCGCTGTCAGTAACAATATAAATCCCCAGAAAGATTTAACAAACGCTAAAATGAAGAAAACTATAGCTTATAGCTATAATAATATAATATATATAAATAATAAGAATTAGAATAAAACATTTTTAAGTACCCTCCAGAATGGAGTTTTCAAGGAGTCGCATTCTTTGGTTTGGAAAATATCCTTCGTATACATTACTTTAGAAAATCAATTTCATTTGCTCCTCTTAATTATTCCGTGATAAAGTAAATTTAATTTTAACAATATCTCTTATATCTCTTCTCATTATTAAGTCATGAGTACTTTATATGTAGGTACCAAGTATACTGTACTTTAAAAGTACGCCCCCCCTCAAAGTAAACATCGATTTATTTCAGCATTATCTTTTACTTTATATTGTAAGTTGACAATTTTCTTTGGAATTAATTGAAAATGGAAATGAAAACAGTTTGATCGTTATCTTTGTAAATTCAGAGGATTTTTGCTGCAAAATCAAGAAGCAACACTAAATAGTATGTATAATTTGAACTAAATTGTTAAATAATAAACTGTGGTCATATAGTGTCTGTCTAGCTAGCTGTTTTCCACATATTCAGGATTTTGGCAATTACATTTATTTTGTTCTTCTATTTAGTGTTGTTTTTATTACTAAATGTGGGAAAAAAATCAAAAATAATTTTTCAACATCTGTTTATGTTTCTCTTTTATTTGGTGCAGCAGTGTAGAAAAAATTTCTGTAATGAATGCGTAAAAATATGAAATTACTCTCTCTCTTTAAAAACATTTTTAGAAGTAGCTGCTAATTGTTACTGCCGACTTTAATAGCTTCCTAAATAAACATGCATTCAATGCTTAAAATCTTCTATGATTATCTTTATTATGTACAAATTTTATGAAATGATACTTTCTAGAAAATGTTTTTTTTAAATATTTACCGTATTGCCTTTTATCTTTATCCTCATAAATACCGTTATTCTCCTGAGGCTAAAGACAAAAATTATTGCTGTTATATATCTGAATTCTTTAAAATGTTGTTACCTATTCTATGTGATAAACTTTTAATAAACTTTCAATTATTATCAAACAGCTTGTAACTAATTTATTTTACATGACTTCAAAGTGCATGAGATCAGAGTTGGAATTTTAATTTGAAATTTCTCAATAATTCTGTATTCTTAGCACTCGAAAATTGGTAGCTTTATATTTTTTGGTATAAGAATTACAAATTTCATGCTGAACTTGGCAGTACCTATCTGTATAGGGCGTTAGTTACACTCTGTTTCTTTAATAAATCGCAACACATTTTTTTTGTCTAATGAACTATGGCTAAGATGAATCAAAAATGTAAACGGCAGTTCAACTTCACATAGAAAAGGTACTCTTTTTTAATTCATCTAATTCTATTGGTTTTTGAGTTGTTTGCATTTTCAACATTCTATGTAAAATCGCCTTAGCCACCGTTATTGCTTTTACTTTTTTCAAGTAGTCCTCTGTTAGCACATGTCAGTTTTATGTGTCAACAAATATTTGACAATTTTGCAAGTTAACAACAGTGTGTTTAGTAAGGTTATGTCTCTTTCTCTAATTTAGTAATTATTTGCAGCAGAAGTTCTAATATCAAAAAATGCCACGACGCGACGTAATAATTATTTATTTGTGTTTTTGTTCCCTCAAATTTTTGAGGATTTGGTGCAAGCAGGAGGTATTTACAATTATACCCAAATCGAAGACAACAAACTGTTCAGAAATATTTACAACCGGTTATAGGCGAAACAGGGTATTTTCGTCCTAAAAGTCACAATGGTGCTTCAAAAACTACCAACGCCAATGACGAAGAAGAGGTTATAATTCGTATTTTGGAAAACCCAGATCTTAGTACTTGTCGGTTAAGTACAGCAACAGGGATATGCCAATCTTCTATCTAGAGAATTTTAAAGAAAGACAATCTGCAACACTATACACTATACTCCTGTCCAAAATTTATTACCTCAAGATTTACCAGCTCGCCTAGAATTTGCTCAATTTTTGCTAGGTAAACAACCTAATGAGGCAATTGCAAAAACAATTATTTGCAGCATGAATTCAAGATACACATTTTTTGTGGTGTTTTTTTGTCCTTTTGAACTCCCTCCTAATCTGAATAAACCTCTCTAATTATTTGAACTTTTCCAATATTTAAACATACTCCTAGAAGATGAGACATGTGGTTTATGTAAAATTGGACGCCACCAGCCACCACATTTTTCTCTGCCATTGCGACAATACCTGAATGAACATTTTCCACATCAGTGAATTGGCCGTCGAGATGAATTTGTTTGACCACCTTCTGGACTTCTGATTATGATCGCAAATGAAGGAAAAATGAAACAAGGAAAAAATTAATATAATCTAGGAGTTGTGACAAAAAATTCAAGACATTGCGACTAAAAATAATCGACAAGTTTCATTTAATATTCAAAGAACTTTAAGAAATCGCATTGTAAAGTGTACTGAGGTGAAGGTTGGACATTTTAAGCATTTACTTTGAAAGTTTTCATTACTGTTACTGATTGTTATTGTCTTTGCACACTTTAATTTAAAAGAATAAAAATTTTATAAAGGCAAGATACATTAAATGTTTAAAATGCAAATAACTCAAAAACCGATAGTGTTAGATAAATTAAACAAGAGTAGGTACCTTTTCTGTGTAACATTGAACTGCTTTTTAAATTTTTAACTCGCTTTAATCATAGTTCGTTGGACAAAAAAATATGTTCTGATTTACTGAAGTAACAGGGTGTAAATTCAACATCAAATTCGTAATTCTCGTACCAAAAAACATAAAACTACCAATTTTCGAGTTGATTTTCCTAAAAATTCCAAAATTATTGAAAATTTTCAAATTAAAATTTCAACTTTGAACACTCTGTATCGCGTAAACATGTAACATTTGTATAAGGCATGTTAATCTCAATCATATTTTGGTGTGTAATATCTCCGATTCTTAATGAATCACCTTGTGGATGTTCCGATATTTATAACTTTTGACTAAATTATCTCTATCGAAACTTGTTGTATGTCCAAATTAATGATATTCATCTTCTTTTTTCTCATTTAAAGACTTTGTACGCTACCTGTGCATAGATGTCAACTTTTGGTAATCGAAGTAATTGTATTTACAGAAATGTGAAAAATACCCCCACCACAGAGCATATTTTCTTCTTTCTAATTAATATTTGCAAAGATTTTTGTAGAATTACCTATTGAATATATATTTTTTTTAGAATCAATCGATTTTCAGCAGATATGAATCTAATTTGTCATAATTTTTTTTTATTTAAAAAAAATGATTTTATGAAGAAACATGATTTTTTCTATTGTAATTCTATAATGGTGATAATAAGAAACAAATATTACGTAATCTTTTGTTGAAGTACATAATCAAAACAATTCATATACATGCGGCGAAGCATTTGGAGTCACCACTGAAGATGCTGATAGTGAAGAATGGCGAAATGGTTGGAAGCATTGAATGCGTGTCCGTCCGCAGCAGCTTTATACCCAATAAGAATAGACTAGCCCTAGAACAACAGGGAAAGGTCAAGATTCCTAGCTAAGCCTATTAAATTACGAAAAAGATACGATTTAGTGATCATTGTTAATTTTCATTACTATTTCTCACCTAGGTGTTAAATTTGACAGAACTAAATTCTTATTTGCCTGCTGCAGGGAAGGAATGTTCTAAATAGTACTCAATATTTTACTGTATCCATAAAAAATAATATTACACCCTAAAAGTTATCACTATTTAATGGATTTTTTTATTTTGTCTACTTTAGAAATAAACTAACTTATTAAATATTTTGTTATGTATTTTGTAAAGAAAATACACGGTTCCAAGAAATTAACGCACCAATATTTTTTTTTAATTTACTAATTATTATAAATTTAAACTTTATGCTATAATTAATTATAATATTAGCTCATAAAAATGTTTTTTGTCAATATAACCCTTTGATTAATATTTAACCAAAACCAAATTTAATAATCGTAAAGTTGCAAATTTCTTGTATGCATATAAACAATTAATTTAGTATTTTTACCTCTGTTTCGGATTACACTCTTACATTCATAGGTCATTGTGAGATAGTGTGTGAATGACATTTTGATCCAGCCTATTTCATACTTCAAGCAGGCGATGTTCCATGTTCTCCATGTCATTAAACCGAAGCAGATGCTCTTTTATTTGTTTTCCAATCAGCAGTGTAGTATGTAATAGAAAATTAAAATTTAA